TGAACATCTTCACTGAATATTTAAGAATATCTCTTTCAAGGAAAAAACATTAAGAGACTCAAAAAGATCCAAAACAAACTCCTTACAAAAGATATAGCAACTTTAATACAGAGATCTCAATTTTACAAGATGGGTGCTGGCACATTCAGACACTAAATTCATTGCTGTAAAGAAAAAGAAAAGACAAAAAAATCCATGCATTATTCTCATAATACTCAGCTTATTGCAAGTTCCATTCAGAAACAAGTATAAAGAAAAATAAATTGAAAGGTAGAAAATACAGCTATGCAAACATATAAATGCTACAAGCCATAAGAGTTCACGTTGACTTGTCAAATTAGTTTCACTCCATATATTACTTCAGACTGTCCTCAGTCTTCTTGGGAGAACACACACTTAAAAAAAAATGAAGGCTTCGTTTGATGGCTAACAGAATAAACTCTGAAGTAAAATATCTAACCTTCGCTTTTGTATTTTTGTTCTTGTTCAGTTACGAGAGGATTCGCTGCTACTAGCAGTTCCTCGTCTTTTCAGGAACGGACGATGTGTTTCCCAAATACTTATTGTGCACAGCTTAAACTAGACTAAATAAGATTATCATGGGGCATGCTGGTTCGCTTTCTTCTTTTTTTTCCCTTAGGCTGAAAATAAAGTGTTTCCAAAATAATTTTCACCCCAAGGGGGGTCAATACTAGTACTGTTCCAGCTTAGACAGCTGCGCATGCATGCAACACAGTTTAACAGTAACATTGGTCTCTTGATACCAAAGAATAACTTTCACGTCACTGTGCCTTTCAATAATCTTTAGACTCTGTCTGCCTAAGGTTACGTTTTATGCTGTAGTCAATCATCTTGAAGTGACTGAAACACCAACTGGTTCAAATGATCACTGTGATTGGATTTTGTACTATTAATTATATTGATGACAGCAAAAAAATGCATTTAAAAATGGATATTGAATTTCATGGAAAAAGAAAAAATGCAATTTGCCGTAAGTCATTAGTAAAAGGCAAAAAGAATAAAATTGTTAGTGGCATACCAATTCCTTAGGATCATGACTGTGACTGGCGATTGTTTAGCCGTCTTTCATATTTTAGTCGATTAACAAGTTGCTCGATGGTAAATTTGCGAAGAAGCTCCTTACCCTTGTTTTCTTTTTGAAGAAGTTTCTTGATGTGTGGCTTTGATATGATTCCTCCCCTTACCATTACACCACACACTCGGAGAAGGAATTTCCTTTCTTCATCGCTGAAAATGCTTCTGCTTAAGTAGCCGGTGTTTGAAGGCAGAACAACATCCAATGAGCTGCTGGTACTTTTGTCAGCTGATCTTTCAAAAAAGCAACTCATTTTATCACTAAGGTTTTCTGTCTGTTCAGGGGGTTTACATGAAGGATCACTGCTCTTGTCTTCCTCCTCGTTGTGCTTGGGATCTTTGAACCGCCATTTGCTCTGAACCTTGTCACACACTCTCTTTGTATCTAAATGCCGCGGAGTGGGATGCTCACTTCTTTTATCCCTGACAGCCACCAGTGTAATTGACTTCTTTTTCATCTCATCAGCAAAGAGCTCCTTGAGAGCAGCCACCTCCTCTTCTTTCCACAACAGACGTTCCTTTCTCAAGCTTTCAGGATGCGAGTCCTTGTCGTTGGCTATTGCTGATATTTTATGTTCTGGTACAGGCACTTTCTCCGGTATTCTCACTATGGAGGTCAGGTTATTTGCTGCTTCAACACACGCCTCTTCCTTTTGACGTAGACGATAGAACCTTTCTGCAGTGGTTCTCTTGTGACCCATAAGATCAGCTAGATCATCTTTCATTGCTTTGTGCTCTTTATGTACCTTTGTTACAGTTGACTTCCGAAATATTGTTGAAGAAACATGTTCTTCTAACCCTGCCTTTTTCCAAGCAGCATTGATGGCAGTAGAGATTTGTCCAGATTCAAGTTTTGCTCCGCCCCAGGACAAAAACGCAGGCATTGACTTGTCATCGTTGCTCTTGCTCTCTGAATTTAAAACTTGATGCCGCACTTCACTGATGTAAACTTTACTCTGATATCAGAATAAAGTTGGAGATAACACAACACTGGCAGAACCATGGGTGTCTGCAGTTTTGTGCTTGCTGACCTTTATTACCATGCTTTCTTGCTCGGTCTTCTTGGCTTTTTCGAACTCTCCAATTGTCATATTGGCCAAAACTCCAGATCGGTGGGCATTTGCAATTGTAATTTCTGTTAAAATAAAATCTCTTATAAGTGTGTAAATTGACTGACTCTTTTCTAGGGAGTGTGCTCCACTAAGCTGGCCAATGTAAGTAACTGTTTTCTGAGTTGATTCACTATTTTGAAACATGGACACCATTGATGGCGTAACTAACTTCTCAAGATCTTCATTCTGCTTTTCTAAGTGACGGCGGTTACTGTCCTTTCGGTAGGACGATGACCACAGACGTGCTTTCTCATCAAGTTTCTGCGCAATGACTAGATCAACTTGAATGCATTGTGGGTTCTCTGTGAGAACAAAAGAGAAAAAGTTCCTCAGACTTAGCAAGTGAGCTTTTAGTGTGTCTGGCTTGTACTTTTTCTCTGCATGATCTCTCAGAAATTTGTCACGAATCAGAGATTTGTTGAACAAAGATGACAAACATCCCTCTGGATCAATTATGGAAAGGATATTGCGCAACTGTGAGCAGTGCTGTTTTGCCATTATTTTTATTCCTCTTTCCACCATCCACTATTTGCAGCCACTGGCAAAATGACTTTAAAATCTCTACTTCTTCCTTGCCTTCTTGCAATTCTTCAGTTTCTTCATTTTCAACTTCATGCTCTTCATCATCTTCGTCTTCGTATGGGCCTCGATGTTGTAGATCTTGAACAGAACCATCCTCCGTAATCTCCTCCTCTGTTAAGTTGCTGAATGAGCTTTCACCTTTAACACTGGGGTTGTCTTGTGCAGTGGGCGATGATTGCCACGTCTTGAGGGAGCGGGCTTCTCTTAATAGCTGTTTGTAAACAGGAGAGCTTTTTTTCCTCTTTGTGAACTTGCTGTATATGATTTGACAGGCACTTGCATCCATATACAGGACACCTCCGATGTCAGCGATAATCTTTTCTTTTTTCTCCTGTGAAGTTTTTCCAGGCAATTGCTGTACTTTCTCTTGACTGACTTTGGGAAGGAAGCTTTTCCTTAGTTGGAATCTGGAGGTTGCCTTCTTTGCCTGTTCCTTGGTCCATTTGTGTACATCTCTTAAATGGCGTGGGAGGTGAATCACTTGTGATTTGCAGCCTTTTAATGGACAGCTGTGCAAAGCTCTTTGAACTCACTTTGACTCCTTTACCTTTGCACCATGTACACCATCCTTATCTTCACTGTTACTTTCCCAGCCAGTGCTAGAGGGACATTTGTCACTGTCCACTGAACTATTTTTTTCTACGCTAGCTGAATCGGATTCCATTGAATGGAGGCCATATTTTTATACAATTTGGCTATCAGTACGAACCACTTAGATGTATAAGCCACTTGGCTTTAAGGTGGATTACTACAGTTTTTTCTGAGACTCAGTAGCGCACGCTACGATTGCTTGCCAGACGTCACTATTAGTTGCGTGTTCAAAAATAACACAAGTAAACCTAAGAAGAAACGAAAATCACTTCAGCACTTGAAAGGCGTTAAATCACTTCCGTATACGTAGCAATAGTTTCAAACTCCGTTCAAACGTGTTTAAGCCTGGGGCCAAAAAAATATGACAAAAAAGCTCTATAAATAATCAGTAGAAGGGCTCTAATTACTCTTGCTTTCACGCACGCGATACATGGCTTCACATGAGCGTGCGCTTAAATAACGGGCATGCGCAATTCAATTCTCGTCCAAGGTTGTAAAAGCTAGTCTTTGATCGAGGATTGCATGAGAACCTACCGTACAACCCATGATGAAATTTTCACAGTTGATTTGTAGCGGTGAATCACGTTTAGAGCCAAAATTTTAAAAAATCTGATTTTGACAGATTTTGAGATATTTTTCGTCTCACATTTTAGTTTGCAAAAAATCTGTCTTACAGATTTTTATTTTGCTTTGCAGGAATGTTAAATCAGAGCCAATTTCTTATTCCTGAAATTTTGAGGTGGGATCATATGGGTAGATTTTGAGGAAAACGTGATTAAACCTACCAGTGCCCAGTCTCTCCTTAGGTAATCTGTCGTTCATTTTGGCAATTTTTTGACGTTTAATTGTTCAAGTTTCACATAGAATGGCAAAAGACTTAAGCAAACAGTAAATAGAGAAAGGAAAAACATCTTGGAACATTTTTGAAAGGAGTTGGAAGTTGGGCTGTTATAATCCGTCAAAACTGTAGTAAGCCACCTTAATATCGGAAAGTTTTTCAAGAGGCAAGTATTGTACCTCCGGGTGGCCTGTTCCAGGCTCTTGATTAGTTGGGAGCAAACAAGGCAGGGAGGTGAGGCCCCTTTCCCCCCCCCCACTCGCCTGCCTCTTAGTTCGCCCCAGACTCTTCGAGAGTCTGGAACGTGCTAACCTCCCAGAGAAAACAGGGTAGTCAGGGTAAAAGTCCAAACCCCTCAGATCTCAATTTCATTTTAATTACACAATGCTGGATCAAAAAGCTTCTTTGTGGAAGCAATTGTAATACTTCCCAGCACGTTACACCTGACAGTATGTTACATGTAACCGTTCCAGAATTATATGCCTTCATGCCAACAACAAATTGTTTATTTTTCTGCTGGGTAACCTCTATTCTTAAGGCGTACGGCAAAATTTTTAATGTTTTCCTCAAAGTAAGTTGTGAGGAATTTGTTCTTAGAAGCCTTAACGCTTCTCCTTAAATAAAGCCTTTCGTGACGCTTGGTGGGTGACACAAATAAAAACTCGTGTATTGAAAGGTCTCTAGGTTTGAAATGTGTTCATACATCAAGTATAGATTCCTTGAGGAATCTGTCACCTTTACACTACAGCGTCCAAGAAAGTCGTCTCTATTTCTGATATTTCAGCTGTGAACTTGATAGTAGGGTGAAAGCTGTTTGCCTTCAAGAGTTATTCTTCTATTTTGTCTCTGTTTGTGTCCCACATTGATATGATGTCATCAATAAATCTCTTCCAAAAGATGGGTGTTGTGTTACTTTGTGTCAGTATTTCGCGTTCTATGTTGGCCATGAAGATATTAGCAAATGCTACAGCCATTTTTGTGCCCATCACCATTCCATGAGATTGGAGAAAATCTTTTCCGTTAAATTGGAGTGAGTTTTCTTGTAGGATCAGACGGAGCATTTCTCCTAGATATCTGGTGGGTATGGGGGGATTCCCCTGATGAAATTCTTCATATGCTTTGCATACAATGTTAACACCCTCCTCTTGTGGTATGTTAGTATAGAGACTAGTGACATCCATTGAGACTAGGATGGTATTGAGAGGCAATTTTGTCTTCTCTACAAAATTGATGAAGTCTGTTGCATCTTTAAGATACGAAGGTTGTATTTGTGCTATAGGCTGAAGAAGGTGATTGACAAAAGCTGAGATACGTTCTGTAGGGCCATCACACCCTGATATACTAGGTCTACCAACAGGGTTCGGTTTGTGAATCTTGGTGAGTGTGTAAAACACTGGTATTCTTGGAGGGTTTGTCGTAAGGGAGAGCCATTTCGCCGTCATGTCATCAGTGTGTTCTTCTTGAAGCAGTGACTTAATCACTCGCTGTACTTTTTTGGCTGTGGTATCAACCATAGGTTTTTCTAGGGGTCGATAGTTGTTAATGTCATTGAGTAGGGCTTGACCCTCATGTATTTTGTCTTCTCTATTCATTACAACGGTTGCAGTTCCCTTATCAGCTTTCCTGAGTATAATGTTTTTGTCACGCAAAAGTTCTTTGAACGCACATCGCTCTCCATGTGCTAGATTGTCTTGGTTTCTCAATGTTGATTGTAGCAAGTTCAAATTTGACTTCTAAGAATGTTTCTAATGCTACAGAAAGTTGAACTGGTGAATTCCAGTCTGACTTAACATGGAAAGGGTGAGGCTCTCTCTCCTCCCTGTGGAAGAGATATTGGAGGTGCATCTGCCTAGCAAATTGATTAAAATCTGCAAGTAACTGGCCCCTGATGAGATTTTCTCTTGTGATGGGCACTGGAATGAATTTTAAACCACGTGATAGTAAAGTGATTTGTTCGTCTGTCAGTTGTGTGTTTGACAGGTTTTTGATATGTTTTTTGTGTGACTCAATGGCATTGTGACAACGCTTTTTACTCTGGTCTTTTCTCCTTTCTTTTCTTTTGCGGTTTTTCGCCGCTTTGTTGTTGTGTTGTTTTTTATCCCCTCTTCCCTTATTATTAAAGAGACAGATAGGACAACAGGATAAGCTTCACTCTGTTTATTCATTGTTTCAGACCTGATCTTTTCCAGCAGTGTGTCGCTAATCTTGGCTAAAATGACTGTGGCTAGTTCATCAACATTCTCGTTTTTATACAATTTTCTCACTAGCTGGTGGTTGTTTTCTGTTTGAAGACTGCTTGTTTACAAAGTTGCTCCTTCGAGACTTTGCTTGCTCAAGCTTTCTTAACTTAATTGTGAGTCTTTCAATGCGCCTATGGTGAAATTTCACCAGCGCTCCTATGAGAGCCTGTTCTGCTTTTTTCCTGATCGAACCTATTTCTTTTTTGAAATCCTCATCGAGCGTAATGTTTGCCCGCACGTTATATCTTAAGGTCTTAGGACAAGTCCCTTTCTCCAAGTGGTTTTTAAGAAAACCGATGGAGTTGTTTGAGCTAGTAATCCTCTCTTGTATTGAACTCAGCTCTTCTTCTTGGCGGGATCTCTTCACACCAGTGCTGTCGTTAGTTTTGGTGGACTTGTCTTCCTGGTGGTGTTTCCTGCCCAAACCGTTGTATTGGTGGCTCAAGTTGCTGTGTCTCTTTAGGCTGTTTAAATCTCTGCTCATTACTGATTTTAGGTCTCTGCCTCTGTATTTGAGTGCTAGGGATTTCGTCTTCAGATCTGTTCGTTTCTTCAGACAGAAGGCTGTTTTCGTCTTCCATTAAATCGCTAAATTCGGTCT